TAGTAACTTATAAATGCCAGTATACGTCCAGCATTGTCCTGAGGATTCTAAGTAAACAGAACAATGACTATACCCACATTGGGCTTATATTCTAGTAATGGAGCAGAATAACCAAATAAACAAAAGGAAGAAAAAACATTATTATAAATTATCTAGAAGTAACAGGGAGAAAATAAACAGGATTTTACGATAGAAAATAAGGCAGGAGTATCTACTTAACAATGAAAAAAGAAGGCTTCTCTGAAAAATGACTTTTAAGGTGAAACCTGAAAGATAAGAAGGTGCCAAAAAAGGAAGGGCACACCAGTAGGGTGGAGGGTCATCATAAAGCACAGAAGTGGTGTTATAAAGTGTATCCCCCCCAAAATTCACATGTCTTAACCTACAATGTAACTGTTAAATGAGGTGGTATAGACAGGGCCCTAATCTGCTAGAAATGTCCTTATAAGAGAAAGAAGAACTACAGATTGATGGAATTCTCTCTTCACGTACATACACACAGAGAAACGGCCATGTGAGGACACAGTGAGAGGCAATTATCCACAAGCCAGGAAGAGACCTGTCACTAGAAACTGACCTTGGTGGCACCTTCATCTTGAACTTCTAGTTTCCAGAAGAAGCATGATTTTATGAATTACTAAGGAGGGAACAACACCAAGTAAATGATGACACCAATTGTAAGATGCATTCTAATTTCAGAATTTCTAAAAATGTGAAAAACTATACATCTTAAATAAATGAAAAATATCTTTAAAAACAGCTAAAATGCAAAGAGAAAGGATAAAATAAATCTGGGCAGAATAACATGGACTGCTTCATGCTGAAGGTCATATTTAAGCTGAGTCTTACAGGACAAGTAGAAGAAAGAAGTACAGAGATTGAAGGAAAAAGTATTTTCAGAAAGAAGGTGCTGCAAGAATTAAAGAAGAACAAAAATAAAATAAGGAATGTCTAGAGAAAACATTTAAAGAGAAACACTTAAAAAGTTAGAAAGACAAGGATTAGGGAAACCTTGAATGCCTTTAAGCCAAAGATTCTGAAATTGACTGCATAGGCTTGAGGAATTTTCTGGGCTAGAATATACACCAAAAATATGGCTTTCTCTAACAGTGATTCTAACTGTGAGAGATGAGAAAGGGAAGGTTAATTCTTATAGAAGTATAGGAAGGTGGACAATCAAGTTCTCAAACTAGTCCTAGAAGTACTATACATCTCATTGCTGAGTATCACTATAGTCAACTTTAAACCAAGTACTCCCCTGGGGAAGCTAAGCTTCAATGCCAGCATCTAGTCCACCCTTTATAGCAATTTTGGAACTCTTTTTCTGGAATGGCCATCAGAGCTGTTGTTGTACAAGGTCTCCAATGAAGTTCAGGAACTCATCCTTTTGATAGAAAAAGTGCTACATACCTCAGTGCTGAATATCATTGAGTCACCTCTGAAGTACTCCATTTGGAAGCTATGCACTGAAGCCAGCATCTAGTACTTTTTCTAGGATGAGTTTGTGAACTTAATTGTCTGACCTCATACAACAGCTCTGATAACCATTCTAGAAAAAGAATTCCAAAACTGGTCTGAAAGATGGACTAGGCGCTGGCATCAGTACCTAGCTGCCAAAGGAGAGTCCTGTGAAGGTGACCGTTATAATACTCAGCAGTGAGGTATGGGGCACTTTTTCTAGGATAAGTTCATTAACACAATTGTCCAAACTTGTACAGTAGTTTGAAAAAGGCCTCTACAAAATCCTAACTTCTACCTCCATTTCACCTTAAGAATCACTGCCGTATGTAGGAAACCCTAGAAAAATCTGAGTAGCCAACTGATTCAAGCACATTTCAGGAAAGGTAATCCAGCAGAATTGTGTAAAAATGAATGAGAATTAGAATAAAGACAAGAATCTGAATAAGAATCTGACGTCCCAAATAAGAAGTTAAACAAATTTGTTATCAGATTAGTTATAGTGGAGAAAATGTATAGTAGAACTATTATATGAAACAGAAAAAATAAAGGTAAGAAGAAGTTTAAGACACAGCTAAAAAGCTCAAGCAAAGACTAGTGCATGCTAAAATTCTTGTATGATAGGTCATTCAGATAATGTCCAACAGGCATTTAAAATTGGAAAGAAAGAGCAAACTGAAGTCTGGAAAAAGAGGCGTGAACATCACCTAAAAAGAAATTTCAGTTAAAGCCATAATTTAGGATAAGTTTCCAAAAGGGAGCAAGAGAGATATTACAAAAGTGTTTTTTGAAGTGAATATGTATTAAAGCACGTAATTGTTTTATTACAAGTAACTGTTTTCAAATCTTAGAATCTTATACTGATCCTCATCATTAATTTTAATACTATAAATGTACAAACAAAAAAATAAAGTGAAGGTTAAGAATATGCTCAAGACTACACGCAATGAGTGGTTCACGCCTATAATCTCAGCACTCTGGGAGGCTGAGGCAGGTGGATCACTTGAGCTCAGGAGTTTGAGACAAGCCTGTGCAAGAGTGAGACCCCCGTCTCTAAAAATTATCTGGGCACTGTGCGGGGTGCCTATAGTCCTAGCTACTTGGGAAGTTGAAGCGAGAGGATCTCGAGCCCGAGTTTGATCCAATACTCTAGAGTGATGCCACAGCACTCTATCAAGGACGACAAAGTAAGACTCTGTCTCAAAAAAAAAAACGCTCAAAATCATAGAAAGTAATACACAGAATACAGAGCATTGCATTAATTTCCAATCTGGTGTAAAGACATTTAGATACACCACTTAGGTATGTGTGTATGCATAAATTTAAGTCAAGAACAATACTCCACACCTTATAAAGCAGCACCTCAGAGAAGTCAATAAGGTCTAATAATAGGGAGAACTGTTTCAATTCCTAAATGGTTTCAGTATAAACATTCACACTTCGTTCATTCTAAGAATATTTACAGTTATTTTATAATATCAAGCTGATTTCTACTTAAGACTTTTTTTGAAGATAGCATGAATATTTAAAATCAGTATTTTAAAATCAGGTATTTTTCCTGTATAAAGGCA